ATGATTTAAGTCATTTGGGTGTCCCATCACTAATCAGGGGCATCCCAGTAATTTCTTGTACCTTGTACTATATTCATCTATAAATAAAGAACTGGTCGACTGGCTAGTACAGTTCGACATTCTATTCTTTTCTGTCATTCTCTTTTCTTTCTTGCTACTTCGAGTATAGCACTTCAGATTACAATATCTAGTATAGCCTGAATCTGGTTTACCATCCTTAATATACTTTAATTTCTCCAATGCCAGTTGAGTTCATTTCCACAAATTTTGGAAAGGGTATGTAATTCACACCATTGAGCTTCAGAAAGGTCATCTAGACACCATTTCCTTTTCCCTTTTTTTTTCTTTTCTTTTTTTCTTTTTCTTGCCCCTTCCCTTTCTTTTCTTTTCCTTTCCTTTTCTTTTTTCCTTTTTTTCTTTTTTTCAGTCTTTTTATATGAGGTGTGCATGAGGCACATGAGGCGTACCCCTCTAGCACGCCTCATGAAAAAAGTGCATGAGGCGTACGCCTCAAAGGTGTCAGTGCCTCTAGCATACGCCTCAGGCATTTTGGGAGCACCTCGCCTCCCATGCCTTTTAAAACACTGGTTACAACCTAAGATCTATGACCATATTATTTTAACTATTTGCATTTCGTTCATTCCACCAAAAGTTCAAGCATTGTGTTGGGAAGTTTTTCTTGGAAAGGTGAATACCTATGAGATGCTTCAAAAGAGGAGGCCAAATAAATGCCTCTCCCTTGTGTGTGTGTGTGTGTGTGTGTGTGTGTGTGTGTGTGTGTGTTTCTTTGCTTTGCAAATGGTGAATCCCTACCACGTTTACTGCTTTATTGTCCTGTTGTGCTCTTTTAGGAATCTTTTTGTTCTCTCTTTGGTTGCAAGTGGATTGCTCCTTAGGATGTAGTGAATCTCTTCAACCCAAACTTCCTAAGGCAGTCAATGCAAAGAAGAGTTATGTGGAAAACAATTATGGTGGCAGTGGTGTGGACTGTTTGGGAGGAAGAAATGCAAGGATCTTCAATGAGAAGCATAGGTCAAAGGAAGAAATTGTGGAATCTATAAGGACAAAAGTGCTGTTACAAGGGGTAGGAGACTTAATAAAGTGTTGGCAATGTACTCAGGACCTTTAGGGGTAGGAGACTTAATAAAGGCTGAGCTGCTAGTGCTGTTACAAGGTCTAAAACAAGCTGAGCAAGAAAACCTTCAAAATTTGGAGGTTGAAGGGGAGTGAAAACGGGTTATCTCTTGCATTACCACAAGGTGTAATGTTCCCTGGATTTATAGAAATACCCTGAGAGAAATTAGAAAGCCTGGCAAGGGAACTCAATACTTCTTTCACTTGGATCAGGACTGCAAATGGATGGCCAACTCACTATACAAGCAGGGGATCCATAGGCAGTAGTTGTTTTGGGGACTATTGTAACTTTTGTGGTTTTGTTGATATATTGGTTGTATTGTAATTCGGTACTTATTCCTGACTCGTTAATAAAATAAATCTTTCTTTGCTGGTCAAAAAACAACACAATGTGAATTTCAACTTTAGATCTTCAACAAAGTGCAAATACTCATAGAAATATAACCTTACCAGCCAATTTTGTGGCATAAACAGCAATTTATGGTATTCAGTATTAAGATCATGACATCAACCATAAGTTCAATCATATAAAGGAACAGACTGAGATCAGATATTTACCTTGTCAGTGCTTGTCTCTGAGATAAATACAGAATTGAGAGGAACACCAAATGATGAAGCAGCAACCTGTGCAACCTTGGTGTGTAAACCTTGACCCATCTCAACACCCCCATGTGTCACTAAAATGGTTCCATCAGTATAGACTTGCACAAGAGCACCAGCCTACACTTGTTGAGAAAAACAAATTTAAGGAAAGCTTACAAATTAGTACATGATAATCTCAGAAGGCAAATAGCTAGTTTGACAATTACTGTCCAATAATGCAGCAAAAACCACCATGATAAGATGATTTGCTACATAGCTTCATCTAAGCATTACCTGATTCATGAACTTCGTTGTAAAGGAGATCCCAAATTTAGTTGGAACCATAGAAATTCCACGCTTCTTCCAACGGTTGTGCAAATTAAAGAGGTCAACTTCCTTACAAGCCTTTGAAATGTTACAAGATGAATTCAATTCATTCCAAAGTGAGGTTAGGGTACAATGCTGAAGTTTTTGACCATAATGCAATATATATCCTTCATGTTGAAAATTAATTTCCTGAAATATTCATTTTTGAATGAATTAAGAAAAGATGATGAGAACAAGAAAAAAAGTTGGCACATCATAAAGAATTGCAATTAGAGGACAGTTACCCTTATCTCTTCAGCACTCTTCTTAAGTTYCATGGCTATTCGTTGGATCCAATTTTCTGCAATAAGCATACCTTGTGGACCACCAAATCCCCTAAAAGCTGTATGGCTTGGGAAATTAGTAAAACAGACATTTCCCTTAATCCTGACATTTGGTATGTCATATACATTATCTGAATGGAACATGGCACGCTCAAGAACTGCCAGAGATAGGTCCAATGAGTTTCCAGCATTGTTATAAATTTCAAGATCCAATGCCAAAATCTTGCCTTCAGTTGTGAATCCAACCTGAAACAAGTAATTAGAGTTTCATCTATAACTTACTGAATTTAACATCCTTCAGTAAAGAAGCATCGAGAACATTTCTGATCCAACAAGTTGAGACACTAAATATAAATTTCACCCCAAAAGACAAACATTATATAATCAAAGACATTAGAAGCAGCAATTCAACTTCAACTTTACGCATAAGACAATATGGTAAAATTTATAAATTCTCTTAATCAACACCTGTAGGGCACTCACTCATTCAGAATGTACACATATCGTGTTCATAACTTCCAACACCCTAAATGCTAAAAAATCAGGCTTGCACCCTTAAGAATGATGTGGGTTCCTTAAAAAGGTCAAACAAATATCAAAAGATCGGATATCAGCCTATTCTTGATTCTTGAAATAGAGTGGTAACCTTATCAGGTTTATGATAGAAAACCCATGAGAGTTTGCACCCTACGTTATGAATATACATATTTGTAGGTCCATGTATCAAATCTATATTTGTAGGTTCATATATTGCCTGGAATCTTCAAAAAACAATTGTAGAGAAGATGGGCCGAATGGCCCATAGGCTGTTACTTTATATTATCTTTATGTTCTTCTTTGTAATGGGCCTTATTCTGGGCCCATACTCTTCTATGTTCCTTTTTTTGTAATTTCTTGTCCAACTAAGGACCTCTCTTGTAAATTACTCAAAGATTAACTTAATAAAAGAGTATTAGAGTGTTAGAGGGAGGATTAGTTCAAACTCCTCATCCTCTAACTCTTCTTGCCACAGCTCTCTCTCTCTCTTTCTTCTTCTCTAATCTTCTCTTGTTAGTTTTTCTGGTTTTCTTGCACAGTCCCATACTTCTAGGACTGTTTTTCAACTACAATCAAGGGTGAAAATACTAACAAAGCACAATACAAGTATACAACAAGGGCACCTGTACAGTATAGGATCTGTGGCATGACCAACAATGGCTTACCAGCACATGAAGATTAAATCTATTATTCATGTACAAGTTATATACTATTGTTAGCATTTTAACAAAGTAGAGAAACTGTTGGTACTAGAAAAGTAGTGCTAAATATATGGTGTGCACTTAGTATATAAGATCTACTTTCTTTTTTTCTTTTTTATCAATAACATAAATTTTCAATAATTTAGAAAAATGAAAAATCATAGACACATCTCGATTACAACTCAATCCAAAAAAATCCATATGAATTCCTTGCTTGGCTAAAGAATATGTCATTCCATTGCAATCTTCCTAATCCATCTAAATACAGCTCCCACTTCCTTAGCTAATTTATCAATTTCCATTAGTGTTTGCTTGTAAATGTAAGCATCCAAAATATTGCTACTTAGCCAACAAATGACTAATTTAGAATGCCCTGTGCCCCTGTTGAAACCCAAGTTTCTTACCTATCTCTGGGTCTTTGGCCCATGTAGCAACACCATTACTTCAGATTTTAAGGAATCTCCAACACTATGGGACCTGGATATATTGCCACAATGATACCTTATGCGTCCCTAAATAATCTCCCAATTCCTGTCAAGCCTGGATTGCCTAACTCCCATCAAAATTCAACTTCCTCTATTATTTACTAGTGGTTTCCGCTCCATGACAGCCTTACCATTCACAGAAGAACAATTTACCACTTATCTCCATGCTCTTGCTATATCATCCACCGAGAAACTTCTAAAGGCCTCCATAATTTTTACCCAATGTGCAACCTTTACTTTTATATTGTGTACCATCTCCTTTATAGATTTGATCATTTCCTTATCCTTTCTTCTGTACTCCATATAGCCCAAATAACTACTATTCTAGTTGCCATCCATATGATTCTACCTCTCTTTTTAGGCAATCTTAGGAAGCTTGGACTAAAAAAGCTAGCCACATCTTGAGGTGCATCCCACTTGTAACCAAAAATATAACAAAATCACATCCAAGCAAGTTGGGAATAATCTCATTGCTTGCTGTACAAAAAAAGCAAATATGAGGAGAAAGGCACTTGTCAGGCCTTCTCCTTTGGAGAACATCACAGTTGTTAATCTTGCCAAAGTCTACCTCCCAACGAAAGGCCTTAATCCTACAATAGGTCTACTACAAATTTCTTTCATTCAGAAATCATCCCCCAAAACATTTGGTTGAATTAAGATGCTAAAGAAGGAAGCACAATAGAAGAACCTTGTTAGAGAGACTAACCAAATTCTATTGTCATTAGTGTGTGTGTCCAAGAATACAGTACCAAGTTTGGTCAAGAGGTCAAATTCACATTTCCTTTCTCTTAGACCGCTTCTAAACCCAAAATCCCAATCCAACCTAGAAAAAAAAAACAAAGAAAAAAGCAGACCAGAATTTAGAAAAGGAATCGTTCCTGTAAGTAGAAAGAGAATAAAGCAATGAGAATTGTTCCTTGAGAGGGGAGGGAATTAACCTAAAAAAGATTTTCCCTAAAAAGAACTCTATTTACAAACCCACAATATACCTGACAAAGCTCATGAAAGAAGACAGCACCTTGTATAGATTTCCAGTGAGAATTTCAAGGAGAGTGAGAAGCCACCTTTATATCCTAACTTTGTCCACTATGAATACTCAGAATAACTTTGTGCCATAATCTATCCCTTTTTAGTGGTAGGTACCACAACCTCTTACCAAGCAAAGTTATATTCCTAAGAATAAAATTTCTAATCCTCAAATTGCCTTGTTCCCTAGACATACAAACCAAGTCCCACTTCACCAAATGGTCCTTCTTCTCCCCCAATTCCTATAAGAAATCCCTCATGTACTTCTCTAGTTTCCATGCCAGTTGCCACATTTACCAGTATATGAAAGCTGAAAAGGAAATAGATTGGTAAGTTAGCCATCTATTTCTCAGGATGGGAAAGAAAGACTTTCTTTTGATAAGTTGGGAAAAAAGACATTTAAAATATATTAAACATTAAGTAGTTGCAGGGATAAGATAGCACAAAAATAGGAGCTGGAAATTCCACGCCATATTTATCGGAAATATTACAAATAAATCCTGTACCACAATTTGGATACATCAAGACAAATAGTACCTTGTACTTTCCAAGAAAGCTATGCCGTTGCCCAGTTATCATCATGTCTACATCTCTGTCTAATGTGATCTTTACAGGTCGATTTAGAAGATATGACGGCACAGAAGCTGCAGCAGCAATAAAGGCTGACCTTGTTTCCTTTCCTCCAAATCCACCACCTATTCGCTTTGTCTTGCAAACAACTTTTGACTGTGGAAGACCAAGAACATGAGACACATATTTCTGATGCTTTTGAGGGGCCTGCATGTAAAAAGATAAAAAACATGAAAAGAAAAGTTCAGGAAAGAACAGTAAATTCAAGGAAAATTGAGATGGTATAGTTAACAAACAGATGATCATGACTAATAAACACGAAGACTTCTATGAACATAGTCAATCACCTGAACAGAAATCCCATGAATGCAAGGATTCATCACTCGTATCATCAGCAATAAGAGGAATTCATATGCAGAAAATTTAGCAAGCATGCAGTAAGAATTTAAATACTGCACATCACTGTACAAATGTGTTGAGCTTGTATGAGGCAAGGTCCTTTTTGGTCATTTCATGCCTTTTGTATTTGGGCACCCATATCAGGGCTTTCATGTAATTTCTCTGTCATAATATAAATTTCATGTTTGAGAGAGTGAACAAAAAACACTCTCCTCCATTCGTTGCTTTCTCTTCTTCTCTTATCTTCTCTTATCTTCTCTTCTTTCTGCTCTCCCAACAAAATCCTAGATATTGCAACTTGGTATCAAAAAAACAAAAAGTTATTGGGAAAACCATCTTATGTTGATCTTTGCTCGAAGGATGAACTGCTGATGTCAGACCACCATCGGATGACATTAGCAGTCCATACAGGTGATGGCAGCAATCCCTAAAATTTATATGGTTCGATTTTTTCTGATTTTATATGAATTTTTGGTATATGTCTCATTTCTATTGGATGCCTCTATGATTTATTGTGGATTTTCCAAGTGGAAAATTGCAGAAATTCTAGATCTGGTTTAGGCTTGTTTCTCTTGTTTGATAGGTTCTTATTCTACAAAACCTGATTCTCTTAGGTCGTTTTATATCTTGGGAATGACGAGAAGTAATCCCGTATTTTGAACCCTAAAATATTTTTGAGAGCTTTTTATCCCTCTATTTTGTTGCCAGCTAGCTTTTTGGCCCCTATTTTGGCCTCCAACTAAGTTTGACCCACTTTTTGGGGTTGTTTGTGTTTCGGTTGGGTGTTGGGGTTCCCCTTGGCTATCAAGAAAGTTAAAGTATGGAATCATCAAACGATGTATAGATGAGTTCCAATGTGTTTCTAGGAAATGTTAATGCTCCCAGTGGTGATAACCATTGTAAAACTTGATGGGACCAACTTTTTGGAATGGTCCCAATTGGCTAATCTTGCCATCATAGGGAGATAAGTTGGAATTCATTATAGGCAAGGATGTGAAGCCGAAAATTGATGATCCTAAGTTTGCAAAGTGGTAACTAGTAATGTTTTGGTGGTCTATTCAATGCAACCTCACATTGATCGTAACAACATTTTCCTCTCAACTGCCAAAGATATTTGTGATAGGGTTGTCACCACTTACTCACAGATTAACAATATTGTTAAAGTATATCAACTTCGGACGGAAGTTTGTAGCATCCATTAGGGGGAAAGAACAATGACCATGTATTTCTCCTCTCTACATTCTCTTTGGAAGAGATAGACCACTTGAAGGCTCTAGAATGGAAGGATCCCGAATCTAGAGTTTTGATTTCACTAGGCAGCATATTCTTAGTGTCGGTATTGTCTCTGTAGCTGCTGCTTACTCTCTTGTGCAATGGGAAGAAAGTACAAGGGCAGCAATGATACAGCCTCCTTCGACAAGACACCCCCTTTCAACTAGTTCTACACATCTTAATTCTTCTTAATATAAAAGATTTTTATTAAAATAATCTTAAAGGAAATCCTCCTTCCTCTTCTTCCCCCTCCCCTTCCTCCTCCTCCCTCCTCATCCCTATCCTCTTAAGGAGGATTACGCCACTTTGTATTCCGGAGGCTTATGCCTCTTACATTCTGAACTACGCCTCACACCTATAGGTAGTGGAATGCTCACGCTTCTGTGTTTTAAAACATTGCTTATTACTAAGAAGACTGAAGATGTCATCTGTGAATACTGCAAGAAGCCAAGGAATACAAAAGAAAGATGTTGGAAACTCAATCCTCACTTGAAACTTGAAAAGTTTAAAACTGAAAGAAAGGAAATGCTCATTTGGTTACAATTGGTAATGATCAATCTTCTGGTGTGTCCACCCCTCTCGTGACTCCTCCAATATGACGGATAAACTTTAGCGGTCTCCTATTTCACTTGGAAAAGAATGGGGCATCCTCCTCATCTAGTTCTAGTAATCCATCCAGTACATTAGCTAAAACAAGTGTTACACGTAATTGTCGACTCTGGGGCTAACGCCCATATGACTAGGTATGCCTTCATATTTTACTCCAGATGGAAGGGTAAGATTACTATTGCAGATGGATCTCAGACTCCTATCTCGGGTCAAGGAGAAGTCAAACTTACCCACAACCTTTCCCTTGGATATGTTCTTCATATACCTCAATTACACAAAAACTTGTTTATTAGTTCTCTTACCAAGTCCAATTGCTCTATAGCATTTTCTCCTACACATTATGTTTTTCAAGATTTGAACACATGGAAGATGATTGGAACTAAGCATGAAGTCAATGAAATCTAACTTTTTTATCAATCTTTAAAATATGAATTGCTAAGCCAGGATGAGTTATTTTCCAATGAGAAATTGAGTCTTTGCAATTGTGGCACTGTCATCTTGGTCATATGTCCTTTAATTCTGTAAAATTTTTGTTTCCAAATTTGTTTTGTTTAGCATCTAACTTGGATCCTCAATGTGAAGTTTGGCATTTATCCAAACAATGTAAAACCACATATTTTGCAAGTAATTGAAGAAGCAACGTTACTTTTCATTTGATCCATGCTGATGTTTGGGGACCATATACCATTCCTTGCATGAGTAGGTATAAATACTTCATTCTTTTCATTGATGAATATACTCGGCATACATGGCTCATTGGCTCTACTTGATGAAAATTTGGGATGAAGTTCCTATGGTTGTTCAAAATTTCATGAATATGGTGGAAACATAATTTGAGATAAGAGATAAGATAATAAGATCTGACAATGCTAAAGAGTCTTTTATGTTTCTTGAAGAACGGAGAATTATTCTCCAAAGCTAATGCATTCATACTCCAAACAACAAAGTGGGATTGCTCAAAGGAAGAGGTAGCCATGTGGTTTAAGTTTCACACCTAAGGTCACTACAATTGTAACCTTTTTCACCAATAGCTCTTAGAAAAGGCACTTCTCTAATGCTGCCACCCATAGGTCCCATACTAAAAATTTAACGTTTTAGGGTGCCACTATCCCCCAAATGGCTCAGCTAGGGAAGAGGGCTTCAAATCCTCCCACTATGGAGATGTAGAAGGATTTTACTGAGAACTTTCCATTTCCACACTAAAGAATCCTCGAATTGCAAATTCAACACCTAAGAATGAAGCATTGCTAGGATATTTCCTACCTGTTGAATCTCCCAGTCATTGAAATCCCTTCTAAAGGATGGAACCCAATAGATAGCATTGTCCCTCATCACAAAGGTATCAGCTATCATTGCCTCTTTATTTTCTGCCAAATTAAATAGGGTGGGAAATAACAAATTAAGGGAATTCTCCCCAATCTAGGGATCCAACTAGAACCTAACTCTCTCTTTCTCTCTCTCTCTCTCTCTCTCTCTTCCTCCCTTTAAGCCAAACCTTATTTAAAAGAACAGTTTCAGTTAAAACTCAAATACTGAAATAACATGTGTAAAAATATCTAAAATACTAATAAGAGAAAAAAATAAATAAGACAATAATAGAAAATTCAAAATAATTTGTTGTTTTTTAATTTTAACAATAATAATTTTTAAAATTAACTGCAGTAATATTATACTTAATTTTTAAATACACAAACTTCTAAAAATTAGTTTATTAAAATAAATTTATTTATTTACTGAGATTATCATTGAAAATTATTACTAAAATAATTATCATTAATTATTTATTTATCATTAGTGATAATTACAGAAATGATTATTAGTCAATGCTTATAGAAATAATTTTGAGTTAATAATTAATGAAAATTACTAATAATTACTTAAGATAAATGATAGTTATGATAAACATTTGTATAGAATTTGTTGAAAAATGCAGAATATTTCAATAAAATATAGAATTTTCTGAATATCATAGATAATTTGAAGAAAATTCATATACTTGAAAGAAAATACATGGTAATACACAAAATTGTCAACAAATATGCATAACATGCAGTTATACATTAATGACTATTAAATATATTATTTAAGTGATTCTTTTGCTTTTTTTTCCATACAGCTTTTTTGTTTACCTTAAGCTTTGTGTCATCATCGACAAGTTATTAAAACATTTTTTTGATAAATGAAAGATGATTTTATTAATTAGATGAAAAAGGTGTACCGACATCCTAGGAGAAGGCACGAGACGTTTTCCCCTTAGGAAAAAGAATATAAACACATTCCTAACAGAAATACACTTATAGAGTAGACCAGAACAAACCACCCCTCAAAGCCTCTTGTTTAGCCAAGGAATCAGCCATAGCATTTGCTGATCTGCTAACCCACTGAAAGCTTACAGTCATGTTTCTTGTCAGCCACTTAACTTTCTTGAGAAGGTCCCTATAACCCCAAAAAACAGTGTCTGGATCTGACAACCAACCTACTACCACCTTAGAGTCCCCCTCAACTATAAGGTGTTCCACTCCAAGTTGGTTTGCAACTTGTATTCCTTGTACTGTAGCAAATATCTCAGCCCTTGTAGAGTCACCAACACCCAATGATCCAGAGTATAGGGATAATATGTTGCTATCATTATTTCTCAAAACCCCTCCTATGCCTGAAGGCCCTGGATTACCTTGACTACTCCCGTCAAAGTTCAGTTTAACCATTCCTTCCGGAGGAGGTTTCCATTCAGCGTAGTGAGAGAGTGGCTCCTAAAGCTGAATGCCCAACACAATCTTATCCTCTAGACTCAAGTAATCCCAAACTCCCCAGTACTTCTATTATTGATTCTAACCAAGATCTTCTTATTTCTATCCAAAAGGGAAAGAGAACATGGACCAAGTATCCCATTACTTATTATGTGTCATATAATGCTCTCTCACTCTTTT